CCTCTCTGCTGCCCCCTCTCCCCACCACTCTTCCACCCCTCCAGGTCCGGCCCCACTCCCCCTACTACTCCATATCTGGCCCTGCTCCACCCCCCTCTACTTCACCTCCCTCTGACTGCTTGGGCTTGGGGGGGGCAGATGGAGACTCCCACCATGCAGGAGGGAGTGGGTGTGGCAAATTATTCACACCCGCCCACTCCTTCCTGTACTGTGGGAATTGCCTCATGACCCAGCCAGGCTGGGGGCCCATTCATGGTGAATGGGGTCCCAGCTGGGCCGAGTCGTGGGGAAATAAAAGCCAGGCAGCTCCTCTAGGGGCATGGGCAGGCTGCTGCCACTGCTGCATGCACCACAGGGGAGCTGGGGGATGGGGGCACATTCCCCCCCATCTCCCTGGCACCTCACCCCTGGATGACCGGCTGGGCTCTGATTGCCCCATGCCTCAGCCTGGCCCAGCTGGGGCCCCATTCACAGTAAATGGGGCCCTGACCAGGCCAGGCTGGGTTGTGGGACAATGCTGAGGAGGCAAGTGGGGGGCACGTGCTGAGGAGGCAAGTGGGGGGGCACGTAGCCCCCTGGTTTGTGTATGCAGCAAGGGCAGGCTGCAGCCTCTACTCCCTGCCTTACTGCCACTGCTTTGACAGCAGTGTGGCTCCATGTGCCTCGCTGCTCAGCCTGCCCAGTCGCAGCAAGGCAGGAAGCAGAGGCTGCAACCCACCCTTGCCCTGTGCACAGACCGGGGAGCCACATGCCCCACCCTTGACAACCCGGCGCCGCACCTCTGGAGGAGCTGCTGGGCTCTGATTGCCCCACAACCCAGCCCAGCCTGAGTGCAGCCTGCCCCTCTTCCCACCTGGCGTAGGCCCAGCCCCACTACCCCGCTTCACAGCCTGGTATACCCCGGCCCCACTACCCCCCTCCACAGTCCTTCTTCTGGCAGTGGTGGTGGCAGCAGAACAGTGGGCTGCCGCAACCCCTGTTCTCCTCCCTGTCAGCTGTTGTTGGCAGGAGGGGAGGTGGCACAGTGCCACAGCTCCCTCATCCCTGACCACCTCCGCCTCATCCCCTGAACCCCAGCACAAAGTTGTTTCTGTGGCCACCCGAACCAGCCAATCACCTCCCGCTCTCTCGAAGAGGCATGTGCATTTGGCTTGGAGCATTACAGACAGACAAACAGAAGGACTAAGGCTTTTATTATATTAGAATTTATATTGAGTGGCCCCCTTAAAAGGATCTGACAATGCCCTAGGGTAAGCCAGCTAAATAGATAGCTAGCTAGATAGCTAAATACCATATTTGTTTGCATACTGCATGTACAGTTTCCTCAGAATTAGCCTTTCAAAGTTTAGTATGCATGTTTTAATTAAGAAAGCTGATTTTCTGCCCAAACTAGTAGCAGTGGCATGTCTATTCAGGCACTGCTCAGGGAGTTAATTGACTTCATGCCTCATTTTAATCTACTTAATTCCTTCTAATTGCTATTTACTCCATACATATTAATGATCCACTCTCCTTTTTAATGATCTTGATGTTCCACTAATCAAGCTATTTTTTCTCTGATAATTTTGTTGAAGAATTGGCCACTAAGCTACTCGTAGGCTTTCTTCTCTTATTTCACAGATAGGCAGACTTGGATTTTTCAGAATCCAAGATCTGCCCATGGAATCTGGTCTTCAGCAGAAGCTACTGTTTCAGCTTTTGATTGAACAGCCAAGATCTGATGAAAATTAAGTTGTGAACTCTGAAAAAAAAAATCTTCATTCTGTCTTCCCAAATCAGTTTGTGTGGACGTGCCATATGCTAGAAAATGCAGGGTTTTTTTTAATGGCAAATTCCATTCAAATGCCTGTATTTAGTAAACCCACACTTCCTGGTATCTAATTTTTGCTGATCCAGTCTCTGCCAGATGTTAGCACCCCATTGTCTCTGAAAAATTGACTGATGGTATTGAATGTCCCTTTGCCTTTTTACAGACTGCCCAGTTTCCAGGAAGGTTCTATGTACTCAGTTCCCTCTCTTGTTGAATTGTGAGCCCAGATTTGCTTTAAGGCAGGCTAGAAGAGCATTTTCATAAAAGCAAAGCCTCAGAAGTTTGAGCAACTTCATTTTTCCCACTAGTGGTTGTAGATTTAGTAGCCTGCCTTTTTTTCCACACTGCTCATTGCAGATGGCCTCAATTCTGAAGCTGTGGTGTAATCCGTTAGACAACATGGCAACCTTTATTTTGTCCAGTACATTGTAGAACGTAGGGGTGTGCAGAATGGGTCCTATTCAGTTCAGATTCGGATTCAGCCCAAATTCAGAGAATCAGCGATTCGGCCATAGACACAGCTTTAAATGTTTTTTTCTACATACCTTGAGGTACCAGGTGTGGCTCATGGATGCTGTAGTGCTTGGGCAGATGGGGAGTCCCGCAGGAGTGTCGGGGGCCTGTGCTCAGCAAAGGTACTTTTGGTCCACTTCTGGGTCTGCTGCCAAGCATGCTGGGCCCCACCCCTACATTCCCCCTCCCCCGTGCTCCTGTGGAATGTTCCATCCACCCCAGGATCTCAGCATTCATGAGCTGCTGGATACCTACACATGTGTAGAAAAAAACATTTAAAGCTGTGTCTATTTCTGAATTGTCAAATCTTTCCAAATCCTTTTAACTGATTCGGAGGGTTCCAATTCAATTTGGAGAGATTAAAGGGTCTCCTGATTCGATTTGGATTCAGAAATTCAGCCACTGAATTGGGCCAAATCGAATCAGCGAATGAAGCTTCAAACAACCCTAGTAGAAATGCCCCAAGTACAGCTCTGTGTGGGATATCTTCTGAAATCACAAGCAGATGGGGTTAATGAAACTCGCTGTTCCTCAGGCAACCAGAGTCTTGAACAAGCGCTTAAGTTGTTGATTGGCTTTGTGCTTCCCTCTGCCCTGTCATCTCTTCTCTCCCTCCAGCAGGCCAGTGATAAGGCAAGACCTGTTAGGAGGAATTACAGGACCTCATCATGTCCTGTAATGTGACTTCCTTTCCCTTCATCGGCACATCTTCCTCATCTGTGGTCTGCTCAGATCTCCTATCCAATAAGATAGAAAGCATTTGCAGTAAAGATCACTTAGGTTATAAATTAGGAGAAGATCTAACCATAGAAATAGTTCATTTCTACCCCTTTTGGAGGTTTTCTAAAACAGGCTAAACTAAGAGAGAGCTGAGGGGAAGATGAAATGACTGCTAAAATACCTTCCAGTCTTAGATTTTTATGATGTATTTGAAAATTACGTCACTTTAAAAATATTTTTATCCCCTTCTCATTTTCTGTTGAAAATGTGGCTGCAGCCCTTCTATTACAGCAATCTTTTTGCCTTCTGTTAGGGTAGGCACTGGGGTGAACTGGGCTGTATGGATATGCAGTTGTGTTGTTTTCATTATACGAAACCTAGCATCGTATACCTACTATGAGAGTTACAAAAAGGAAGCCTTCTGTAACTTTTTGAATAAGGATCATCAGAAATGTTTGTTATAAATAAGCATATTGGTCCATTGTAGACTAAAAGGTGGTTTTTATATCTGTATTTTATTTATGCTTCTTTTGTATCTGTCACAACCTCCTGATACTTGAGTACCATAATCCAACTAAAAAATTATTCTTTTCTTTTCCATCTTGACCTTTTCTACATTTGCTTACCTCCAAAATTGAGAAAGGTATTTATGTCTTTGCACAGACTCTCCAGACTCTAGAAATGAAATGCTGCACCTAACTATAGATTTCCTACCTCATAAGCTGCACTGTGGATGCAACACTGAATAGTATTTTATATATTGGAACATCTAGATTAGTGAAAAAAGTGTGTGTAAATAATTTATTTTTAAAATACTCAAATTGGTTGACTAAATTGCTTCTGGTGCCTAATTTTATTGTATTAGTTATACTTACAACTTCTTTTCTATTGTATTTCTCTAGGTACATATAAGGCAAGTTTCAGCAAAAAACTTAAAACTGCTTCATATCTTTCATTCCATAAAAGCTCACTCATATTGGCTAGTAACTCTCAGTAATTGCCATGTATTGTATCAATTTTACCTCAGGGCCTAGTTAATATAAACCAGAATATTTGGAAGTGGTAACATCAACATTTTTTTCATTTGAAACTCATGTTGTTTAACTTCAGAATGTAGGAATATACAAAGTATAAAGTATTTAATTTATCTATTTATACTCCTGACATAAAATGCTACCCAAAGAATATTTTCACAGAAACTTTTTAATGTGAAAAAGAAAAATACAGTAGTAATGAGTAAATCAATCCTACTTAGACACTAGGCTTTGCACTAAACGGGGAGTTCTTATTTTAGATAAACCAAAAACAAAACTCACTCAAGCCGAGCTATCAAATGGCTCTTTTTCCTCAGGACTCCCCTGTTCTATTGCTGGGGCCAAGCGTTCTTTGTGGTATTTAGCAGTAATTGCAGCATAGGCACAACCATAGACAGCAGCTGCCAACATCATTAGACACACAATTCCACAGACAACTCCAGTTATTACTACAGTGGCGATCGCATGACGCAAATTAACTGGCCTTGATTTTGGTTTAGGTTCACAGTCTGAATGGCTACTGTCTCCGTGTTCATTGTGATGAGCATGCTTCAGTGAATTTCTGTGCTCAGAGGTATGGTGGTGAAAACTAGCCAGGTTAACATGAGCAGCTGTAGGAGGACATACTCCATAGATCTCATAAGGGACTTTGAGGAGGTCCTTTCCTTTCCGATTCTCAGGTGTGGAACAGATAATGCCATCGCTTATTCCTCCTGAAAATAACATATTAAGGTCTTACAGTCCTGGGTTTTGTGAATTATCTATATGTTAAAACTAACAGAAACCTAATGAAATGTATAAAGCTTTGATTTTCTACTTTTAAAAATGTATAACCATATTTTATGAACTTTATGTTTCTAATTAATTATAGGGTAAGATTATGACATGTTAATCGCTTAAATAAGTTATTTGTAACCAGTAATTCATTAGGAATAAACTAACTTGTATTTTATAAATGTTATAATAAAATTGCCAATCATATAAAATAGGATAAATTCATAAATGAAAACAAAGATATATTGTTACCAAGCAAATTCATACCATCACTTTGTTCTTATAAACATAAATGGAAACAATATACCTGTTGGAAAAATGTCCCATTAGAACTGACAGAAATATTCCATGAAGTCATTGTTCTGACATTATGTGCTAATATTTGCCATGATGCAAGCTGTGAAAACCAAATGGTCTATGTGCTTTGACTTTTATTAGTACCTTGCCTGTAAAAATGTTGTTCCACTTATGCTATGTACAAGAACCAATTTATAAAGCAACGTTAGAATTGAGTAAACATGAATGCAAGAGTCAGAAAATTAAAGGAGTTAAGTTTGTTTATACAGAATGTATTTGTCCACATGGTACATCGTGGATATTTTATGATACTCATTTTATGATACTCATTTACTCATTACCTGTAACTCATTTAGAGCTAGGTCTTGCCCTTGCCTAAATGGGTGCTCTTGGTATGGGAGAAACAGAAAAGGAAGTGTCTTTACTTCTGCTTAAGCAGTAAAGCATAATTATTCCCCACTCTTATCCATTTCTAGAATCTCTCAGCTTCCAGTCTTGCCCATATACATGGGCCCTTGGAGACATGGTCTCTTGGTTAGTAAGTTGTGCCTAAAACAGTGTGAGCTTTCATGTCAGCATAATTAAATTAATTGAATCAAATCAGCTCAGATTTCTTCTCTCCTTTCTTCTTTTCTCATCCCAAACAAACCACCTTTTAGCTGAAGCCATGCATGGACATTTTCATCCTAAAAATAATTTGTTTGAGAAAGGAATGAGTACAGTTGAGCCCAAACCAAGCCAAAATTCCTGAGGCCACCTTCTCCATAAGTACTGATAATGTTCCAAGGTGGATTTGAATGTAACTGCTGCTTCAATGATCTGTAATTGGCCAAACCAAAAATGTAGGTCCAAACACCTCCAAACTTGGAAGTCTGAATGTAGATATGGATGAAGATCCACATTTTGCAGCTATGGTCCCCCTATCGTTATGAGTGGCTGAAAAGGTTGTGTTGGAATGGAAAATTGGATTTCTGCCCTAAGTAAAGCATTCAATCAAATTTTTTTTAGTACATTCAACAAGTATCAATTGCTTGAGTTGCATTCAGTTCAGAAATATTTAAATATTTTTAGTGTTCTAATGAATGAAACATTTAAGATTTTTTCTTTGAAATCAAACAATTTTCCATTACCAGCAGTATTCAGTTAGGGCACACAGCAGAATTCCCTGAGGCCAGAGCATGCCTTTGCCATAAATATGCAATCTGCTTCTGAGGAAGAATTGGAAGGATTAATGTGGAACATAACTCATTTTCTGTTAAGTCAGAGCTAAATAAAGAAATGTAAGTATGTTGGGATCTGTGGCATCTAGATTTCTTTCCAAACTGGTTATTAAATGGGGGTTGCATATTTCACTTCATTTGTAGTGATCAATACAAAGGTGGAAGTAGTAGAAGAAAATTACTGAATTGCCAAACAGTGGCTGTTTTTGCAGAGATAAAATTTTAAAAAGTTATGTTGCTGGCATGTTAATTAAGACAATCGGATATGCTTATCTTGGACCTTTACATTCTAAGTTGGAACCCCTGCAGATATTTGTTATGGGGAATTAGTCCAGAAAAATCTAACAAAAGCTTGGGGATGAAATATTAAGATGTTACCTTAGGGAGCTGAATCCCTTCAAGATGATAACTTCTGTCAGTTAAATTACAAAATTGCTCCATCAACACATCCACAGGAAGATTTTGATAAATTTTACTCTAGTTGCATGTGGCTATTGGCTTTAAGCACCTTGTTTAATTTTGCTGATATACTTCCTGAAACTAATTGCATCTTTTCACTATTATCTAGTTGCACTAGTAGTCTTAAATAGATGGGACTTAATTAAATGTATATCTTTCCTCACAGCTCCAATGAACCAAAGACAGATTTTGCGCAGTATTTTCCCTGGCACAAATGTTATTGGAAGATGCAGATATGTTTTATTTACCAGCTTTTCTCAAGCCATTTACTCTGGTTTAGTTCCCAGTATAATTTAGCATGGCCTCAAGACTGCTTTAATTTGTGCCCAGCTGCAATGACTGTATTTTACCAGGATACTGCCCTTTTTGCTAGCTGTTTCCCAGTGTGGCCAGTACTGTTGGAGCATGCTATTTCCCACTGTGGCCAGTAACACTGGAGCATGCCAAGGAACTGGCTCAATGTTTAGGTAGTTACCCTATGAAACAGGACCTCAATATAAAAAGAGATATAACATAGAAGAAAAAGAAATAGCAGTGTTCTAGTGAAAGATGTTCTAAAATTAAACAATTTTAAAGGATGGGGACAAAATTGAGATAATTTTTTTCTAATTGGGATCTGGTGCATATTTGAAACTTTCTAATGTAACATTTGGATGTTTCACTAGTCATTGATGCATTGGTTATCATCAGATTATTTTTTTTAAACTTGAGCAAGGAAATATGTATGAAGAATAAACATTTCTAGTAGAAAAGTATGAGGTTTTCCTTTATTCTTGTATAAACTTATTTAAATATTAGTTAGTTAATTAGTAGAATAAATTATAGCCCAGAGTGAAAGCTAGTTGGCAAGTTCCACAGTAACTTTTTGTGCTTAGTGCTACTAGAAAATAGTGATGAATGTGGCAATTCTGCTTAGGCATAGTAAACGGCAGACTATCACAGGTTATGTCTACTAGGACTTCATTATAGTCTGAACTTAGTCCTCTACTCTTTTGTTCTCAAATGAGATATCATCTTGAAGACGGTTGCCCACTTAACTGTGAGTTAAGGCAACTCAGTGGATTCTGAATAGCAGTTGTCTTGAAGCAAACAACTCAACATATACTGTTGTGTTGTAGTGTGCTAGTGTATTAGCTCATATGCCAATAGGAAACTTATAAAATACTTATATTTGAGCATCAAAGTTTATTTTAGGAAAAAAGCGGATGTCTTGTTTCCTAGTTTCTCAAAACCTGCCTTGCTTCCATTAATACCTTTGTTTCCTTACACTCTGCTAACTCAGATAGAACAAATGAGCAAAGGAATATTTTAGGATAATAAACCCTTGTAGGCTATAATCTAATCATTTTGGATTCTAAAACTGCCCATCATGAACCACTGCAAGGCCATTCAAAAGTAAAAAGAAACAACTTCTGAATATCCAAAAAAAAAAAAAAGTAAAGAAATTACTGATGAATTTGCAGCTAGCTAGAGAGAATTGAATGTTATTAGGTAGTTTAATATAAATATGCCCAAACTACATTGATTTGCATATAGTAAATATATTATTAAGATGCAAAGAAACTTTTCAGAAATATGTATTCTAATTTAAATATACCTGAAATTAGAATCTTTCACATGGGAAAGGATCATGTAAATGGTTTAGAGATTGCTATATGCACATTTTCTGTGCAGCCAGATGTCACTTATAAAACATGTGTATGGGATGGTGATTTACACAGTCTTTTCTGTGAGTATTTAAGATAATGCTGATGTATTTCAGAAAAACATGCCTATTTGTAGTATATTGTCAGTACAGAAGAGCTACGTCTAATAATCACATGCCCCAATTCAGGTAAGCATCCCTCTTCTAAAGACATGTGCGTAAGTGTGCTTCTGAGCACGGATGGAATTAAATGTGTGCTTAAATGGTTTCTTGCATTAAGGTCATAGCGATTAGGACAATTAAGGGGTATGCTAGGCCTGTTTGCCTGCATTCTTCCTAATGAAGAAAGTTACTTACCTCTGTATAAAAAGCTCTCCAGCCACAGTTTAAGGCCAAAGGCATTGCAATTACATTGCCATGGATTATCTTTGAAAAGAACAACTTTCAGGTTTGGAAGTGACTCCAGAAGAACTCTTTCCATTTTCTGAAGCTTGTTATGTTTCACAGACAATAACGTTATATTTCCGGTATTTTTCCCCAAAGTTTCAGGCAGACTTAATATCTTGTTGGAAGATAAATCCAGTTCTTTCAGCTGTGGGAGGGAACTGAAAGTCTTGTTTTCTACATAATGAATCAAGTTCTTGGTTAGGTTTAGAACTTGTAGGTATCGTAGCCCTTGGAAAGCACCTGATGCCAAACTTGTTATTGAATTATTAGACAGCTCTAAAATTTTGAGCCAAGGTGCTCCAGTGAATGCACTTTGATTGATTCTCCAAATGTGGTTATTCTGCAACAGTAAGATTTGAGTTTCAGAAGGTAAATGGGAGGGAATGTCAACAAGTCCTTGATTCTTGCAGTCTACTGTCTTCGAAGGTGGATGGCATAGGCACTTTTCAGGACATCCACGAACCTCATATATTAATAGGATAACATTCAAAATCAAAAGCAAGTAGCCTGTATAACAAATACAAAAATGCTGTGAAATCATTTAGAATCTATATGTTTTGAAAAAATAGATATTGGTTACCTAGACAAAGGTATAGGTATATTATTTGGATGTCAAATATAAAATAATTAGCCTGAAGGTTGTATATTTACTTCAGAGTTATGTATACTAATATAATACGAGTCAGTTGTAGATAAAACTAAAATCCTTATATGTAGACTAAAGACAATTTTATAAATCTGTAAAATTCAAAAAGCTGTATTTTGGGGCTTTATCTTAAATACAAACAAATTTTAGCATGTTTTGCCATCAGCTCCTTGCCATAAAAATTGAATGATTTCCTAATTGTTGCATGCCCAAGAGAATGTAATGCCTTGATAGAGTTCCCAGGGCTATTAAATTGTAATGTTTTTCTTTCAGTGGCAGTAATGATTCCAAACTGCCTTATCTTAAAAGTTGTGAGCACAGCCTCCATTTAGCTACTTTTTTGATTCCATGTTACAGCATAAAGAATTAAGCTAGTGTTCTGTTAGAGGAAAAACAATTTTCAAAAGCTTCACTATATGGAACTTAACAGCAGTTTCCCAGGATTCAGATTATTGAGCGGCTGTCCTTTAAAGTATCCACCCATGTTTATAGTTATTACTTGAAATTCCCTTACCTGAATGCCAGCTGTAAACTTTCCAGATGTTTGAACCCCTACCAGGCAAACATTTTTCAAGTAGAGTTGTTAAAATGGTGAATGAGGTCACAAGATTACTCTAATATTTAATATTTAATTTATTATCTACTGCTGTTGCTCCTAACAATAATCAAGTTTGCTTTGACTGAACTAATATAATAACTTGTACCTATCATATGTAGTTGCTTGTATTCCTTCAAAGCACAGTGTGTTGCATAAAGCTATGTTACTTCAGAGTACTTTCATTATTTCAATGAAATAATCAAGATGTATTGAGATAGTTGGAATATGATCTTATATTAATTATTTTGGCTCAGGATAATTGAAACAGGTAGACTGTTAGACCCTTTTCAACATTGTCTCAGTGGTGAATCAGTTCAATATTGATCATCTGTTATTTCAAAGTAGTAACTCTTTTAGTCAATCATTAGGGAAAAGCTTTGGAAATGAAAGGACACGTTTTCTCTTCCTGAGCTCAAGCATTAAATAGCAACAGGGAACTATATCTTAAAGGAATAACAAAATGTGATTTAAGTATTGACCATACTAAATCTATCAAAGAAAATCTTGGATTTCTGTAACTACAGTTTAACATGCTAACCACTAAATATGCACCATAAAAATGAAATTACAGTTGAAATAAAATTACAAAGTTTTTTGCTGCAGCTCTTGAATTCTGTGTTCATACAAGCAGAAATGCATTATCTGGTGTTACACTGTTCTGCAACAGTTATTTTTAGAAACAAAGAGAAACAAATACAGCTACCATTATAAAGTTAAAAATAGGCAATGGTTGGCAAAGACAATATTTCTGTACAAAGTAGAAGTACATTCCTATAGGTCTAAACAGGAATTATGTCTCACCTTTCATGGTTGTTTGCTTGTTCTCTTGTAGAAGGTTTAGTCCAAGTTTGTTAAGTGGAACGGTAATGTACATGTATTATAAAGTTGAAGTGGGAGTCAAGGGTATGTGCTAATCCAGCTTCTTTTGTGGCTTTATTTTAGAAAATAACTGTATCTTGCAGAGGAGCTCAGCTGTTTGATCTATTGAATCACTCCATCAGCATTCAATATCACTGCAGTCAGTTTTATTGCACTCCTGTTTCCACTGTCCATCTATAACTCTCAGAGGTTTTCACTGCCTCTTACTTGGTCATGCAAAGAGTGACTGTCAAATCAAACTGGACAGCTGTAACATACAAATCGTGACCTGGTAGCATATCCCAGATTATTTAATCTGCTTCAAATCCAGTGCACAAAAATAAAGCACCCTTTTAAAATCCATTTTAGTTTCTCAATTCTCTTCAATTATTAGCTGTGCTGTGCCAACCCTTGCAAGATCAGATGACTCTAAATGTGAAATCTGGTTATCCTGGGCTTTGATTGGAGGCAATGGAATATATAATATCACTACAGATAGGCCTATGTGTTGACATAGTTTTGACAGTGCACTTGTTTGTTCTTCTAGGATTTATTCTTCTGGCATCTATAAGGATTAACTGTGCTGAAAGGATTTTGTTGCATGGGAACAGAGAGCTGGTGCTTCCCAGAGTGGGAATGGTAAACATATTTGTGTGGACACTACAAATATTAGGTGGATTTTTTTTTCAGACTCATTGACATTTTAAATGGTAGTTGATTGAAAACTCATGTTTCAGGGTTATATATTGCCACTGCTACCTTTGTCTGCAACAAAAATACAGCATAACGTTTACAAAAGGAATAGGACTAATGACGTATGGCTGTTAAATGATTTAAACTGCAATGAAGCATTCAAATGAATATGAAACCTGGGATAGTGAAGACCTTCAAGGTCAAAAGCCTGGTGCTCCTCATCAGTTAATTTTGTCATGAGGAAAGATTTAGAAATGACACCACCAAAAATGGCAGCACTCTACAAATGCTAAGCATATAGTTGCATTCCTAGGGGCAAATTGTGTTACATACCAGGGTCACAATTTGCTTAGAATCTGAGTTTCATTTGGGATAGTATGATATGATGCAGAATTAGTCTCAGATTCATTTTTGGTGGATAATTCTAAACTCGAGCTTTAAAAAATAAAGAACCAAATCTTTCTTTACATTATTTATTGAACATTCATTACCGTAACTTGAAAGTTCTGTGTTCTCTGGTTGGTGCTTTGTAAATGTGTAGAATGCATGAATGCACAAATAATCTCCCATAGGAAACAATGCAATTCGGTCCCCTCCTCCTCTTGACTAGCCTCCAATTAATAAGGTTAAATTCAGTATAGAGCAATCAACATTTATGAGTTACACTACCAAAAAAATGATGAGTTTGCTTCCAGACATTCTGAGATTTCTCTTTTTTTTATAAAGAGATTCTGTAGTGTTTTAGGTGTATTGATTCATTTTTGTGAGCATTTGACAATTTGAATTGCTCTGCTCTACATTGAGAGGTGATAGTGACCCTTGGGTTCTACAAGAGTTCTCACTTCTCAGAAATGGCCTTTTTCCTTGAACAGTAGCTAATTCTCCTAATCTCCAAATCCATTCCGTTTCCCCAGATTCTGTCTCAGTTATGTCCCTTACAACAATTTTGCATCAATCCCAGTTTGCATGGGTCTTCCCTGGGCCTCCCATCAGTTTTGCTTATCCTATAGGCCCTAGATCTCTCCATCAGACCCCAGAACCTCCATCTGTTCTGGCCATTTCCCATGTAGCTCCATGACCTAGTCAGTTTTGTCCCTTCTCTGGTTCACTCCCCTCTTCTAGGCTAGGGTGGCAGGTGCAGCAAGATCCTCCTCTTTTTCTCCCCATTTGCAGGCCAAGTGTTTCCAGGACAGAGAGGTTGAAAGGGGCAAGGCAGGAAGAGAGGAGCTGTTTCTGATTTTTCATGGGAAGGGTGAAGGGAACAGACTTGGCAGGCTATTTCTGCTTCTCCTCCTTTGAGAACAGTGTTGGGTTGCTGAGGAAAGGGGGAAGAGCTCTGCCTACATCATGAAAAGCTCTGATTTATGGCATCTACCTCAGGAACCAAGCAAACAGAAGAGGATGCTGAACAGGAACTTTCCATGATGCAAGGCCCAGAATTCAGGAAAGGACTAGATCTTCTTATATCATCATGAGTCTTACACCAGTCCTAGCCAAAATTACCTTCACTTGTGAAGATTTTTTGGAATTGGCAAGAACTGTATTCACGGTAGAATTAGAGTTGAGAGACTCAACTTGTCCCATAAGAATGTACATGCTCAGACGAGTAGCTTGTAGTTGACAAAGTTGGACTCAGCCCAATTTCCATCAAAGGTTGTCTCTGCAGTCATAGGCAGCTCACTGAGAAGGCTCTACCCTAGCCCTTTGTAGGGTGTATATCTGGCTCTTTCACTTGAAATGCACTGAATAAACGCTGTACTTCAACAGAGAGAAAACAAGAACGAGCTTTGACAAATCTAACATAGATTTGACAAAACCATAAATAAGCAAGGCTTTCAACAATAATGACTGGACCTGGCAGATATAAACTGAAAATATTGTTTGGTATCTTGCTGCTGTTGAGGCATCCAGGGGGAACTAGTTCAAAAGTTCATATGTATATGAAGGTGGAGTTGCCTGTGTGTGTGTACGGGTAGAGAGAGGAACTTTGATAATTCACAGTCATTATATTTACATGAATACAAGATGAGGTTGTTCCCCCCAAAACAGTGCAAAGAAAAAGCCCCGCATCTCACATTCTTATACATGGAAATACATGGTGTATTATAAAAAGTTGCCAAAAGCACCATGTGCTCAGTTATGGAAACCAACTATGAAGTTGATTAAAAGCAGCCAACATGGAACATGACTATAAAGCACATGGCCATATTGGACAAACATACAGATTTATTTTTTGCAAAAATATGTATTTCTATATATATAACTACATATATAACTGTACCTCTAACAAACTGTCAAGTGACCACTGTGGTTCACATGACAGACCAAATCACACTTTGACAGTTAAACTATTTTAGTCCTATTGCAAAGTTCACATCACACACCTGCACACCCATGCACCCATCACCATTCCAGTGCTTTCAATCATTGTCACTGTATTTGTCATTGTCGTGGTCATCTCTGTCCTCACCGCTGTCCACCTTGTTGTTCTCTTTGGAGGATTTGCCTCTGAAAAGTCTATGCCAGTCCCCTCTCTTCCATATAAGGTCCGCCATCTCTTTCCTGTCATCCTCTTCTGTCTTCCTGTAGTAACAGTACATTTCACTCAGCCCCATTTTAAAACAGTTCTCAACTGTGGGATCTGAGTGCCTGTTTGTGAGTAGGTTTCTGGCCTTCCACAGGGCACACCTGAAGCATGAGATGAATTGGTTGAAGCGAGCTGTCAGGGCCCCTTGCTGTTTGGTCAAGTGCCTATAGAGGACCACGTCTCTGGTCCAGGTTCTGAAACGTGTCACCACCAGGAGGAATGTCTTTACTTTCTTCCATACCCCTCTGGTGTATGGGAAGTCCCAGAAGAGGTGGTCAGTTGTTTCTGCCTGCCACTGGCAGGTCTGCCTTGGGCAGTTCAAAGAACCAGTCTGCCTTGCACTGTTTTTCCAGGCCTGTACAGGGAGTGCCCGGTGGGCTGCCTGCCAGTTCAGGTCTCTGTGCTCCTTCTGAAGATCCTTGTGGAAGATTCGCTCCCACATGGCCTGGCAGCTGTCACCTGTCGTGGGCGATATGATGTCTCTTGCCCTTACCACCTCCCATATCTTGTGGTGGTTCACCAGGGTTGCTAGGGTCATGCCGTGCAGCTTGTATTTTTCCCAGAAGCATTTCAGGACCTTGTAGAACCATGGAGACATCATGGCCCATGGGCTGCCATTGGTTGTTATGTACACCTTCCACTATTGCAGCAGCTGCCCTGCAAATACTTGAGAAAGTGGGCTGTTTTGGATTCCACCCCTGTTGCTAGTTTGCAAATCTGGCTCATGTACTTGGCTCAGAGAAATAGAAGGATGTCTGGCATTCTTCTGACATTCCTCTGTCTCCAGACAATTTCACTTTGTACGGCTTGGTCCTTGCCACTTTCTTCCATGTGCAGTTCTAAAGGAAAACACACATGGAACCTACCATAAGAATAGATTAGTGCAGCCTATCTGAACAAGGTATATGTTCCTCCAAGCCCAAAGGGAGGTAATCCCAAAATGAATCAAAGGGGGCAAGAGGATGCAAAAGTCCCCATGACTCACCCCAGGACTTCATAGGAACACCTGGTACCAGTCGTGAGTGGCAGTCTGATTAGCACATAGTTCCTTTGTGGAGAATATCTGCTGACACACATAGTGAGCAGTGCAGAGCTGTGGGGGTCACCATGCCTTAAGATGCCATTGACTCTGCTGGGGCCCAGCCCAATGCCCTATCTGGTAAATTATGAGACTTTTGGCTTTGGACTTACATTACAGTTTATACTACCTATTTATACAGTTTATACTACCTATAAGTAGGTGTAAAAGTGCTGCTTAAAAGTATGTTTATGGAGGACTTATGCTAAACTTTGCAGCAGATTCAAAAAAGGTAAAATGCATCAATTCTGGATGAACTAAATCTATGGGTACCTATAGTAATTTGCCTATATGGTAAATTATGTTCATTTCAAAGAAAGTGTTTTCAAATTTGTCCTAGTTTTTATGTTGTGGGAAAGAAATTTCTGACAGTAAGGTGAGGAGAGGACTGCAGAGGGAAGAAGTTGTGGGAGGCACAGGGTAAGGGGGCTACCTGACCCGCAGATTTATTTTCCCTCCTGTAGCAGTGGGAAGGGGACAAATTCAAGGCAAACCTCCAATAATTAGATTGTATACCTAGAAAACGATAACAAATGTATACATTTTACATATATAGAATCTAGGGGGTCATCCTATATTCAACGTTGTCTTATATTTGAGTAAATACAGTATTTCCAAAATGGAGCTCTTACAGTCATCTCCTATCTTGCCCCACCAATCATGGCAACGTCCTTTGTTAACATATGTCTGAGTGTTCAGGAGGTTGAGAAAAATTATTAGGAGAACTGTGCACTACTTTATTACTGTACATGGATTCCTTTGCTGACTTGGAACAGAAAATAGTCAAGACAACTGAAGGATTAATGGATAGAGGTGGACAGGGCCTGAAAATGTGGAGCAGCTGACATTCTATAAAGTAAACCCAAGAGATCATCCAGAAAATACTCTGGATATTGGTGGCAATGTTAGGCCTCATAATTCTGGATACTCTTGGTGAATTATAGATTGTGTGAATTCAAGATGAAAGGTTACAATGTAGTGAAAAGAAATCTTATGAACATTGGTCACATGACACCACACCAGCATTTAACAGTTCTGACTTTTGAAATGGAAGGTGAGGTTAAAGACAAAGAATAAAATC